TTTTTTTTACAAATAAGTAAAGCAAAATGTTAAATACTACTCCTCTCTACACTAAGCAGTTTCTTCCTCTCCTCTGCTCTTTCATTTTCTTGATTTTGTTTTGACATGACATATTTGGAAACTTGCTAGCTGGATATCAAGCTTATTGTGAGATGCATAAAGGTCCTTGTTACTATTTACACTCATCTGGGCTTACAGGATCATCTATCCATGCAATAGGCTGGTTATCGTAACCATCCCAAAACTTCTTCAACCCCCCCCCTTACTGTAATAATCAACTACATCTGCTTTCTGCAGTGCTTTCAAAACACGAAATACCATACTGGTCTTGCCTACACCAGTTGGTCCCCACAAGTGTTTCCCTTATTTCTTTTTTCCTTTTTGGTGCTGCCCGTTCGCATTTTGCGCTTCGACCATTCCCATCAGAAACTTCCTCATAGGTCGTGCTTTGATCCTCACTATCAAGAAGTCTTTCTTCACGTAAGTCTTGGTCACGGCGAACACGTCTTCGATTGGGGTAAACTCAACATGACCATACCCCTTGTAGTTACCTTTCTTGGTGGGTCTCTGAAAGGCCAACAGGCCGTGCTTTGCAATTAACATTTCCAAAATGTGGTCACGATCCGGCAAACTGTTTGCTTGGTCCAAGATAGACAGCGCCACATAGCCTGTGAATGGGCAGTCTAGCGCACTGTCGAACCCATGCACCATTATGTGTTTGCTGAGGCCAGTGTCCATGCCGTTCAAGTTGAGTCTCAGGTTAACCCGTAACCGTATGGTAATGTGTAGAATCCTTTGCTGTGGAAGGCAAACATGGTATTGTCTATGGCTTGTCGTCGAGCCCACAAAACGTTTCATTTTAATAGTCTTTGTTTGTAGTTTTTTCTGTTCCACCCCCTTTGCCTTCCCCCTCTCCTTCTGCCCACGCGCATCAGGAAAGTGTTTCCTTTTTTTCCTTGCTTTCTTTTCGGCACTGCCCGTCTGGCTTTTGCATTTTGACCCTCGCCATCAAAGAGTCTTCCTTCACATAAGTCTTGCTCGCACTGAAC